GAAGATGATGATGATGGTGGTGGTAGTGGTGATGATTATGGTGGTAGTGGTGGTATTGGTGGTGATGGTGGTAGTAGTGATGATGGTGATGGTAGTGGTGATGATTATGGTGGTAGTGGTGGTGATGGTGATGAGGGTGGTAGTGGTGGTGGTGGTGATGATGGTGGTCATAGTGGTGGTGATGGTGGTAGTGGTGGTGATGGTGATGATGGTGGTGGTGATGATGGTGGTGATGATGATTATGTTGGTAGTGGTGTTGGTGACGGTGATGGTAGTGGTGGTGATGATGGTGATGACGATGGTCGTGGTGATGGTGGTGGTGATGGTGTTGATGATGGTGGTGATAATTTTGGTGGTAGTGGTGGTGATGGTGATGATGGTGGTGGTGGTGATGATGGTGGTGATGATTATGGTGATGATGGTAGTGATGATGATGATGGTGGTGGTGGTGGTGATGGTGTTGATGATGGTGGTGATAATTTTGGTGGTGGTGGTGGTGATGGTGATGATGGTGGTGGTGGTGATGATGGTGGTGATGATTATGGTGATGATGGTAGTGATGATGATGGTGGTGGTGGTGGTGATGATTTTGATGGTAGTGGTGGTGATGGTGGTGGTGATGGTGATGATGATGATGGTGGTGATGATTTTGGTGGTAGTGGTGGAGATGGTGATGATGATGGTGGTGCTGTTGGTGGTGGTGGTGATGATTATGGTGATGGTGGTGGTGATGATTATGATGGTAGTGGTGGTGATGTTGGTGGTGATGGTGGTGGTGATGATGATGATGGTGGTGATGATGATGATGATGGTGGTGGTAGTGGTGGTGATGGAAGATGATGATGATGGTGGTGGTGATGATTTTGGTGGTAGTAGTGATGATGGTGCTGGTAGTGGTGATGATTATGGTGGTAGTGGTGGTAGTGGTGGTGATGGTGGTAGTAGTAGTGATGATGGTGATGGTAGTGGTGATGATTATGGTGGTAGTGGTGGTGATGAGGGTGGTAGTGGTAGTGGTAGTGATGATGGTGGTAGTGGTGGTGAGGATGATGGTGATGATTATGGTGGTAGTGGTGGTGATGGTGGTAGTGGTGGTGCTGGTGGTAGTGGTGGTGATGGTGGTGATGATGATGGTGGTGATGATGATTATGGTGGTAGTGGTGGTGGTGATGATGATGCTGGTGGTGATGATTATGGTGGTAGTGGTGGTGTTGGTGATGGTAATGATGATGGTGGTGGTAGTGGTGGTGATGGTGGTAGTGGTGGTGATAGTGATGATGGTGGTAGTGGTGGTGGTGATGGTGATGATAATGGTTGTAGCGGTGATTATGGTGGGGGTGATGATTATGATGGTAGTGGTGGTGATGGTGATGATGGTGGTGGTGGTGGTAGTGGGGGTGTTGGTGGTGGTGATGATGCTAGTGGTGATGATGATGGTGGTGATAATGGTGGTAGTGGTGATGATGAGTATGGTGGTGGTAATGGTGGTAGTGGTGGTGATGATGATGGTGGTGGTGATGATGATGCTGGTGGTGATGATTATGGTGGTAGTGGTGGTGATGGTGATGATGGTGGTGGTGGTGATGGTGATGATGGTGGTAATGATTATGGTGATGATGGTGGTGATGATGATGGTGGTGGTGATGATGATGGTGATGATTATGGTGGTAGTGGTGGTGATGGCGGTGGTGATGGTGATGATGATTTTGGTGGTAGTGGTGATGATGGTGGTAGTGATGGTGATGCTGATGATAATGATAATGGTGGTAGTGGTGGCGATGGTGATGATGGTGGTGATGGTGGTGATGATGATTATGGTGATGATGATAGTGATAATGATGGTGGTGGTGGTGATGATGATGGTGATGATTATGGTGGTAGTTGTGATGATGATGGTGATGATGGTGGTGATGATTATGGTGGTAGTGGTGATGATGGTGATGATGGTAGTGATGGTGGTGATGGTGATGATGATGGTGGTGGTAGTGGTGGTGGTGGTGATGGTGGTGGTAGTGGTGGTGATGATGATGGTGATGATTATGGTGGTCGTGGTGGTGGTGGTGGTGATGATGGTGGTGATGATGGTGATGATGTTGGTAGTGGTGGTGACGATGATGGTGATGATTATGGTGGTGGTGATGGTGGTAGTGGTGGTGACTTTACCGAAAGAACCAAGAATAATAATTTTATTGTTTTACAATAATTTCATTGTTTTATATTTGTATTATTTAATTGTTTCCCTTCTACGTGGTGACTTTACCGAAAGAACCAAGCATAATAATTTTATTGTTTTACAATAATTTTATTGTTTTATATTTTTATTATTATATTGTTTCCCTTCTACGTGGTGACTTGACCGAAAGAACCAAGAATATTTGACTTCGATTTAAAGCTTTTATTATTTCCCTTCGGCGTGACTTTTACCGAAAGAACCAATGACAACTATTTGATTATTTAAACCTATTAAGGTCACCATTTATTTATTGCATGAAGGAGCATTTTGCTTCTCCATGGGAGAATGGAGAAGCGTGAATTTTGCACATTTTTGTTAATGATTGTTATTAAACATTTCGATTCCAGTGATTCTCCGGGGGCCTTTCATTCTGTGGAATGAATATGCGATTGTTATAATTGTACTTTCCATTTGGCTTCGTTCTGCGACGAAGTTTAAAGGGCCCGTCCAGAAATGACGTCATGCACCTAGGGGTGGGGGTCAGACATTTGTGACGATTTGTGACGAGAGCGGGTAGGGGGTTTGAGTAATGTGACGTCACATCAAAACGCGCAACTTTATAAATAAATACGGACAACACGTTCTACTTAATCAAAGAGACTTTTTTAATAAATGTTTTCTCCTGCAACATCAGAGTGCAGCGCCACATTAAACACTTAAACACGCACTACAAAGCGATTTGAAGCATGTTTTATTTTTAAAATGGAAATATAGTTTTGGGGGGGGCAGAGCTTTGTGACGTCATTTGAGGGGGGGTCTGACTTTTTGTGATGCCGCGTGACTTTGGGGGGGGTCAAAAATCGTCCAAAATCACGTGACGTCATTTATGGACGGCCCCTAACTGGTATAACAAAATACAATAGTATTTTAGGGTGTTACAGTGAGGGAAAAAAATATTTGATCACCTGCTGATTTTGTACGTTTGCCCACTGACGAAGCAATGATCAGTCTATAATTTTAATGGTAGGTGTATTTGAACAGTGAGAGACAGAATAACAACAAGAAAATCCAGAAAAACGCATGTCAAAAATGTTATAAATTGATTTGCATTTTAATGAGGGAAATAAGTATTTGACCCCCTCTCAATCAGAAAGATTTCTGGCTCCCAGGTGTCTTTTATACAGATAACGAGCTTAGATTAGGAGCACACTCTTAAAGGGAGTGCTCCTAATCTCAGCTTGTTAACCTGTATAAAAGACACCTGTCCACAGAAGCAATCAATCAATCATATTCCAAACTCTCCACCATGGCCAAGACCAAAGAGCTCTCCAATGATGTCAGGAACAAGATTGTAGACATACACAAGGCTGGAATGGGCTACAAGACCATTGCCAAGCAGCTTGGTGAGAAGTTGACAACAGTTGGTGCGATTATTCGCAAATGGAAGAAACACAAAAGAACTGTCAATCTCCCTCGGCCTGGGGCTCCATGCAAGATCTCACCTCGTGGAGTTGCAATGATCATCAGAACGGTGAGGAATCAGCCCAGAACTACACGGGAGGATCTTGTCAATGATCTCAAGGCAGCTGGGACCACAGTCACCAAGAAAACAATTGGTAACACACTACGCCGTGAAGGACTGAAATCCTGCAGCGCCCGCAAGGTCCCCCTGCTCAAGAAAGCACATATACATGCCCGTCTGAAGTTTGCCAATGAACATCTGAATGATTCAGAGGACAACTGGGTGAAAGTGTTGTGGTCAGATGAGACCAAAATGGAGCTCTTTGGCATCAACTCAACTCGCCGTGTTTGGAGGAGGAGGAATGCTGCCTATGACCCCAAGAACACCATCCCCACCGTCAAACATGGAGGTGGAAACATTATGCTTTGGGGGTGTTTTTCTGATAAGGGGACAGGACAACTTCACCGCATCAAAGGGACGATGGACGGGGCCATGTACCGTCAAATCTTGGGTGAGAACCTCCTTCCCTCGGCCAGGGCATTGAAAATGGGTCGTGGATCGGTATTCCAGCATGACAATGACCCAAAACACACGGCCAAGGCAACAAAGGAATGGCTCAAGAAGAAGCACATTAAGGTCCTGGAGTTGCCTAGCCAGTCTCCAGACCTTAATCCCATGGAAAATCTGTGGAGGGAGCTGAAGGTTTCGAGTTGCCAAACGTCAGCCCTCGAAACCTTAATGACTTGGAGAAGATCTGCAAAGAGTAGTGGGACAAAATCCCTCCTGAGATGTGTGCAATCCTGGTGGCCAACTACAAGAAACGTCTGACCTCTGTGATTGCCAACAAGGGTTTTGCCACCAAGTACTAAGTCATGTTTTGCAGACGGGGGTCAAATACTTATTTCCCTCGTTAAAATGCAAATCAATTTATAACATTTTTGAACATTCGTTTTTCTGGATTTTGTTGTTGTTATTCTGTCTCTCACTGTTCAAATAAACCTACCATTAAAATTTTAGACTGATCATTTCTTTGTCAGTGGGCAAACGTACAAAATCAGCAGGGGATCAAATTCTTGCCTTATAATCCGACGGGCGCCTTGCCAAATGTGTCTTTACAAGTGTAACTATTAATATTATTGGCATTATTATTCCTGTTACACACTTAGCAGAATCAGCTTGAAAAATAGGCATGAGACTCTTAAGTAATAATAATGATAATCGTCACGATAAAAAAAAATCTGTCATAATCATTGTAACAACCCCGAACCCATCACCGCCACCACAAACCCACACACACAAGGTGCACCTAGCCTGGCACGGGCTACGGGGCGACGAACGCAGCTCCCCCCCTCCCCCTTTCGCCGTGCACTTTAAAAAAAAAACATTTCTGAGGAAAAAGTGAAGATTGTGAGCTGTAAAAAGCTATCGTTGAGATTTTTATTTAACAAACAAAAAAATAACAACAACTAATTAGCCGATAGGAGGCGACATTTCCAGCCGCAGATAAAACCGCATTGGCCGCGCGTGTGTCTCTGCTTCGTAAAAAAAAAACACGACCCGTCTTTTACGCCAAAGGTTATCATCTATATATATTTTTTAAAAAAATATATCGTTAAAGTAGTAGATAGTCGTGGGCGAGGCGAGCGATTCGTCCGTTCAGTGTTTGCGTTGTTAAAATATCGCGATTTGTTTTTAGACGTTTTAAATTGGCGCGGTGGGAATTGTGCAAGGCCTCTGTTGTGGATGTCCGCAGGCCCGAGTTTTTGGGACGCTTCGCCTGCTTATTCACTTTATAAAGATCGATAATAAAAAAAAACAAAGAGCCGCAGCGGATAGGGTTTAACATGAACAGTTATATAGTTTTAAAGTTTAATAGTTAATTTTGGTGAGGGAGTTTTTTTTTGTTTTTTCCCCTCACAACGCGCAGCCATGGACGAGGCAAAGAGCGGCCGAGTTGAAGGTAAGCGGCGTCCGTCCCATTCTAAAGCGTCAACATCGTCAACAATAACAACAATAACGATTAGATCAAACAACACACGAGCGGTTGTTGTGGTTGTTGTGGTGAGGTTGCGGTAGCGACAGACTTGGGTTAGAGGGTTAAACGCTTCACTATCGTGATGGATTACATAATCATCATTATCACCATCATCACCATCACTACCATCGTAATCATCATCACCACCATCACCACCATCACTACCATCACCACCACTACCACCACTACCACAATAATCATCACCATCATCATTATCACCACCATCATCATCACCATCACTACCATCGTAATCATCATCACCATCATCACCATCACTACCACCACTACCACAATAATCATCACCACCATCACCACTACCACCATCATCACCACTACCACCATCATCACCACCACTACCACCATAATCATCACCACTACAATCATCACCATCTTCACCACTACAATCACCATCATCACTACCACTACAATCACCATCACCACAACAATCATCACCACCACTACCACAACAATCATCACCATCACCACCACTACCACCACAATCATCACCATCACTACCACCACAGTCATCACCACCACAATCATCACCACCATCATCATCACCATCACCACCACAATCATCACCATCACTACCAGCAGACATGTACTAACAGTCGCCTTTGTGAATGATGGTGGTAGTGGTGGTGGTGATGATGCTGGTAGTGGTGGTGATGGTGGTAGTGGTGGTGATGGTGGTGATGGTAGTGGTGGTGATGGTGGTAGTGGTGGTGATGGTAGTGGTGGTGATGGTGGTAGTGGTGGTAGTGGTGGTGATGGTGATGATTGTGGTGATGGTGATTATAATGGTGGTGATGGTGATTATGATGGTAGTGATGGTGATGATTATAGTGGTGGTGATGGTGGTGATGGTAGTGGTGGTGATGATGATGATGGTGGTGGTGATTGTGGTGGTAGTGGTGGTGATGGTGATGATTGTGGTGGTGATGATTGTAGTGGTAGTGGTGGTGATGATTATGGTGGTAGTGGTGGTGATGGTGATGATTGTGGTGGTAATGGTGATGATTGTGGTGGTGCTGATAGTGATGATTGTGGTGGTGGTGATGATTGTGGTGGCAGTGGTGGTGATGATTGTGGTGGTAGTGGTGGTGATGATTGTGGTGGGGATGGTGGTGATAGTGATGAATATTGTGGTGGTGGTGATGATGGTGATGATTGTGGTGGTGATGGTGGTGATAGTGATGAATATCGTGGTGGTGGTGGTGATGATGGTGATAGTGATGATTGTGGTGGTGATGGTGGTTATAGTGATGAATATTGTGGTGGTGGTGATGTGATAGTGATGATTGTGGTGGTGATGGTGGTGATAGTGATGATTGTGTTGATTATCGTGGTTATAGTGGTGATTGTGGTGGTGGTGATGTGATAGTGATGATTGTGGTGGTGATGGTGGTAATATTGATGATTGTGTTGATTATCGTGGTTATAGTGGTGATTGTGGTGGTGATGTGATAGTGATGATTGTGGTGATGGTTGTGATAGTGATGATTGTGTTGATTATCGTGGTTATAGTGGTGATTGTGGTGGTGATGGTGGTTATAGTGGTGATTGTGGTGGTGATGGTGGTTATAGTGGTGATTGTGGTGGTGATGGTGGTGATAGTGATGATTATGTTGATTATGGTGGTGATAGTGATTGTGGTGGTGATGGTGGTGATAGTGATGATTGTGGTGGTGGTGGTGATGATTATAGCGGTGATTGTGGTGGTGATGGTGGTGATAGTGATGAGTGTGTTGATTATGGTGGTGATAGTGATTGTGGTGGTGATGGTGGTGATAGTGATGATTGTGGTGGTGATGGTGATTATAATGGTGATTGTGGTGGTGATAGTGATGAGTGTGTTGATTATGGTGGTGATAGTGATTCTGGTGGTGATGGTGGTTATAGTGGTGATTGTGGTGGTGATGATGGTGATAGTGATGATTGTGGTGGTGATGGTGATTATAGTGGTGATTGTGGTGGTGATGGTGGTAGATTTAAAGCTTTCGTGACTGCTAGGATCCATACTCTTTGGTTCTATTGGGTAAAGTCACGTAGGTGAAAATAAAATAACAAAAAATGACGACGTTTCGGCCACAACACAAGTGGCCTTCATCAGGTGAAGGGACGAGACTGTCTGGAGGACAGCGCTGGAGTGAGAGAAGCCACGCTTAGATCACGACCTTTAAGCTGTGTGAGAAGTTTTAGTGATGATTGTGCTGGTGGTGGTGATGGTGATGTGATAGTGATGATTATTCTGGTGGTGGTGGTGGTGATAGTGATGATTGTGGTGGATGATGATGATGGTGGTGATGATTGTTGTGGTTGATGATGATGATGGTGGTGGTGATGATTACTCATTGTTTTTTTCGGTAAAGTCACATATGTAGAAATACCATAAAATTATATTAAAATAAATCAATCGCGACGTTTCCACCGCAACACAAGCGATCATCATCAGGTGTAAAAACCAAATAGCGAGGGAGCACACAGGGCGACATCAACGCAACACGTAGAGAGCGTTAAACTTGCACGGAGGTGATTACAACAAGAAGACGAGAGACGAGAATTCAACAAACCTAAGAAAAAAAAATGTCACGTGAAGCACAACCAGTCAGGCCAACAGCAACACAGTTAGACACTTGCCTGGCGGACCACGAATTTCAGAAGAGTGCTCAATTTCGCGTTCGTCCTCCGGGTTGAACACACCGGCATAGACAGGGCGAACAAATACGAGGTGCAAGTCAGCAGAAATACATGTAGACAGGGAACACCACGAGGCAAGGAGAGGAGAGACGGACAGAGAAGCAAGGATAAAGGGTGCCGGAGGGATGAACAGACCCAGAGGCCTTAAATGAGAAGTAGAGGTGGGGGGAGAGGGGGAGGGGTAGGAGATAGCAAGGGGTGCAATACGTTTAGGACAGAATTGTAAAGGTAACTTCCCCGTAGAAGTGTGATGATTGTTGTAGCAGTGAGGGTTAGGGTTACTGTAGCGACAGACAGGCGAACACCGATTTAGAGGGAGGGTTACACGGTGAACGATTGATGGGGGAATCCATCATCATCGTCGTCATCATCATCGTTCACAAAGGCGACTGTCAGTACGTGTATGATGGTGGTGCTGGTGGTGATGGTGATGATGGTGATAGTGGTGGTGGTGGTGATGACGATGGTGATAGTGATGATGATTGTGGTGGTGGTGATGATCGTGATGATTGTGGCGGTAGTGATGATTGTGGTGGTAGTGATGATGATAGTGGTGTTCATGATGATTGTGGTGATAGTGATGATTGTGGTGATGGTGGTGTTTTATGTGGCGATAGTGATGATAATAATGATGGTGATGACGGTGATGAATGTGGTGGTGGTGGTGGTGATGATGATGATGGTGGTGTTCGTGATGATTGTGGTTGTGATTAATGTTGTGGTGATGATGGTGATGATGTGGCAATAGTGATGATGATTGTGGTGATAGTGACGATCGTACAGGGGAATGTGGAGCTGAGTGGACTTGCCGATGACTGGTACTAATGGTGTCAAGATCGGCCTCTGTGGAGGAGGCTCGTGAAGGACGCTGCTGGGCAGTTGGAGGCAGTCGCCCTCCAGCAACAACGGAGGGCGGAGGAGCGACGCTCACAACAACGAGCGGAGCACCAGGGGTGGCTAAAATTAGCACCTGGCCAGGCACAGGCACAGTGGTGACTTCACCACCACTTAGTGGTGAATGGCGAGTGTTGTTGTTGATAGTGATGATTGTGGTGGTGGTGGTGATAATGATGATTGTATACAGGACAGCAGATTGTGGGTTTCAGTTTTCAGTTTATTTATTTTGGTGTAGCCCTGTGAGCCATTCGGCTCTTGAATCGGGTGCAATCACAACAAGCAAAAAAACAAAAACATGAACAAGAACAACATCTTAAAGTGACTACGTTTGATCCCGACCTGCTGTATATTTTGTTTGCATGTTGTGATGATTGTGGTGATGATTGTGGTGAGGATTGTGGTGAGGATTGTGGTGAGGATTGTGGTGAGGATTGTGGTGAGGATTGTGGTGAGGATTGTGGTGAGGATTGTGGTGAGGATTGTGGTGATGATGATTGTGGTGATAGTGACGATTGTGGCGATGATGGTGGCGATAGTGACGATTGCGGTGATAGCGATGTTGATTTTTTGGTGATTGTGGTGATGATTGTTATGATGGTGGTGGTGATGATGGTGGTAATCGTGACGGTAGTTCTGACAGCTGCATGGGTGTGATAGCACGCGAGGCAATATCATTCCCCCCCCCCTCGCTATAGCTGGAGAACTGTCACCGCTATCATCGCTCACCGCCCACGCCAGCCATGCCGACCGCGGCGCCACCGCTCCTCCTGACTCCTCACCCCGACCCCACCTCTGACCCCCGCCCCACTTTCAGGTTGAACCCCTCGACCCCCTTTGGCCCAAGCCGCCCACCCCCCCGGCCGCCTCCCCCCAGACAATCGTCGCTGTCGGTGACGGCCAGGATGAGCGAGGCTGCAATGGCCGAATCATCCGGGGCTTGGAAGTCGGCCTCCGGCAAGGCCGACAATAGCGGCGGTGGAAGTTGCTTGCGGTGGAACTACAACAAGGGACGCCGTGAGTGAAGGGTCGGATGGGAGCCGAGACCTTCATCATCATCATCGTCGTCGTCGTCGCCGTCATCGCCGTCGCCGTCACAGACGTCCTTCCCTCCCATCCGTAGCTTCCATTATCCCCGCTTGAGCTACGTACGGGGGCGAAGGAAGTTAGTTGCACGTGCACACGGTGTTGCTAGGAGATGTGTTGGCTTCTTTGCCTGCTTTGCAGGAGGCTGTGGGGTTCCGATCGCGACCCTGGCTCCTGCTGGGTATTTTGAGCTTGCGCGTCCTCACCGCGTTTGCCGTGAATTTTCCCCTCCCCGCGTGTCTTTTTTTTCCCCCCCCCCCCCCTTACTCATTTCGTATGCGACGTCAAGCTTTAATTTTCCACGTGATGATGATGATGATGCTGCTGATGATGATGAGCCGCTTCGTTGACCTAGAGTGAGTGTGAGTGGAGTTTGTGTGTTCTAGCCCTGTTCTACAGAGTGAGTGTGAGTGGAGTTTGTGTGTTCTAGCCCTGTTCTACAGAGTGAGTGAGTGGAGTTTGTGTGTTCTAGCCCTGTTCTACAGAGTGAGTGAGTGGAGTTTGTGTGTTCTACCCCTGTACTACAGAGTGAGTGAGTGGAGTTTGTGTGTTCTAACCCTGTTCTACAGAGTGAGTAGAGTTTGTGTGTTCTACCCCTGTACTACAGAGTGAGTGAGTGGAGTTTGTGTGTTCTACTCCTGTTCTACAGAGTGAGTGTGAGTGAGTGAGTGTGAGTGAGTGTGTGTGAGTGAGTGTGTGTAAGTGTGAATGAGTGTGAGTGAGTGTGAGTGAGTGAGTGTGAGTGAGTGAGTGTGTGAGTGAGTGAATGTGTGTGAGTAAGTGAGTGAGTGAGTGTGAGTAAGTGAGTGAGTGTGATTGAGTGTGAGTGTATGAGTGAGTGAGTGATCTCCCCCTGCTCTGCATGGGTAACCCTCCAGGTTCTCCGCTCCCCTCCCACAGCTAAACCCACACCCACAGTGGAACTGGTAGCGGCCACATCCACACCCCCACTGTTCAACAATTCCCTGCAACAAATCCCTCAACTGGGATCTCACAGCAGCAGCATCATCGCTACCCCCTACTGACAGACTGATGCACAGTGACAGCTGCCACTGGGGGTGCCCCTAGGCCAGACCCACACAGCAGCAGCAACAACAACATGGCCACCCCCAACTTCAAACACACGGCAGGACCCTCCGCGAGACTTTGCCGGGGTTAAAGTCGGCGGAATCGAAATAACAAGCAATGCGTGTGTCCACCATTGCCACAATTTTCACGTTTTACTTTATTGTTATTATTATAAATATCAGAATCTTTTCGATTAAAAGCTTTCGTAACTGCAGGGATTCATCTTCTTGGTTCTTTCGGTAAAGTCACCACCACGTAGAATGGAAACAATAAAATAATAAAAAAGAAACATGATAAAATAAAATAAAAATAATTTTATTTTATTACGTTTCATCTTTTATTATCATTTTGTTTCCTTTCTTACGTGGTGGTGACTGTACCGAAAGAGACCAAGAAGATATCAGAACCTTGATTTAGACTGCTGGAGGAGCCTGACGATCTACCAGGCTCTGTCACCCCCCCCCCCCCCACCCACCCCAGATGTAGTCCCCGGTACGGGCGACGGAGGGGGTCTCACCGCTCCTCTCTCCCCACGGCAGACGAAGGCCCCAAGGCCGGCAAGCGGTGGTCGGCGCAGCGCAAGGCCGCGGCCGCTGCGGCCGACGACGCGGCGGCGGCGGCGGCGGCGGCGGCGGTGACGGCGACCACCGTGGCTGCGGCGGCGACGGCGGCCGGACTGCCGGGGACGCGCGGAGAATCTCCCGTGGCCAGCGCCCTGCTGGTGGAAACGGAGAGCGTGAAGACCGAGTGGGAATGTGAGTGGGGCGGGCGGGCGGGCGAGTATATGAGCGAGTGATTCAGTGGGGCGAGTGGGTTGGCGAGCGAGTGAGTGGGCGAGTGGGTTGGCGAGCGAGTGAGTGGGCGAGTGGGTTGGCGAGTGAGTGGGCGAGTATATGAGCGAGTGATTCAGTGGGGCGAGTGGGTTAGCGAGCGAGTGAGTGGGCGAGTGGGTTAGCGAGCGAGTGAGTGGGCGAGTGGGTTGGCGAGTGAGTGGGCGAGTATATGAGCGAATGATTCAGTGGGCGAGTGGGTTAGCGAGCGAGTGAGGGAGTGGGTCAGTTACTGAGTGGATGATTGAGTGGATGATTGAGTGGTTGAGTGAGTGGGCGAGTGAGTAGGTCTGTTAGTGACTAAGTGGGTGGGTGAGTGAGTGGGTGAGTGTGGTGGGTGAGTGAGTGGTGAGTGAGTGAGTGAGTGGGTGAGTGTGGTGGGTGAGTGAGTGGGTGGGTGAGTGAGTTGGTTAGTGATTGAGTAGGTTAGTGAGTGAGTGGGTGGGTGGGTGAGTGAGTTGGTTAGTGATTGAGTAGGTTAGTGAGTGAGTGGGTGGGTGAATGAGTGGGTGGGTGAGTGAGTGAGTTGGTTAGTGAGTGAGTGGGTGGGTGAGTGAGTTGGTTAGTGATTGAGTAGGTTAGTGAGTGAGTGGGTGGGTGAGTGAGTTGGTTAGTGATTGAGTGATTGAGTAGGATAATGAATGAGTGAGTGGGTGGGTGAGTGAGTGAGTTGGTTAGTGGTTGAGTAGGTTAATGAGTGAGTGGGTGGGTGAGTGAGTGGGTGAGTCGACACGTCTGCGTCTGTGCAGGCGTGTACTCCAATCCCGAGGATCTGGACGTCCGCCGGTCGCACCGACACCGCAAAGTCAAACTTCCGGTGGACCTCGGAGTCCTCCAGAGTAAGAAGCTGTCACCACCGCCACCACCACCACCGCCACCCCCACCGCTACTACCGCCACCACCACCGCTACCACTGTAACCGCCCCTACCGCCGCCGCCACCACCGCCATACACCGCCGCCGCCACTGCCGTCACCGCCGTCGCCGTCACCGCCGCCACCGCCGCCACCACCACCACCATACACCACCACCATACACCGCCCCCACCACTGTCACCGCCACCGCCGCCACCACTGCCGCCACCGCCGCCACCACCACCGCCGCCACCACCACCACCACCGCCGCCCCCACCGCCGTCACCACCACCGCCCCCACCACCACCGCCGCCGTCACCACCACCGCCCCCACCGCCCCCACCACCACCGCCACCACGGTAGCTGGGTCACCGTTGGGCCTTCCCCGAGGCGGCAGACTAAACTATAAACTACCATAACTGTTTTTTTGTTGACTAGGTAAAGGCCCGCTAAGCTATGTGGCTCTTTTTCCAGAAGCCGCCCGGCCATCGGAAGTGAAAACTCAACGAAGCCTACGAATGTTGAACTTCGTCCGCAGCCGTACGTAGGCAACTGCGCTAATTGGGGGGGGTGCTTTGTCATCTCTAGATTGGAAGCTTTCGTGACTGCAAGGATCCATACTCTCTGGTTCTCTTCGGTAAAGTCACGGAGGTGAAAAACCAAAACGACAAAAATCACGACGTTTCGGCCACAACACAAGCGGCCTTCATCAGGTGAAGGGGACCGTGCTGTCCAGAGGACGGCGTTGGGCTTGGCCGTCTTCACTCCAACGCTGTCCTCTGGACAGCACGGTCCCCTTCACCTGATGAAGGCCGCTTGTGTTGTGGCCGAAACGTCGTGATTTTTGTCGTTTTGGTTTTTTTACCTCCGTGACTTTACCCATTAGAACCCGAGAGTGTAGAGTGTGGTTTGTCGTCGCCGTGGAAGTTTAATGGCGGCAGCGAAATGCGCTGAACGTGGAGGGAATTAAATATAAAATATATATATATATTTTTTTTTTAAACACGCTTTAATGAAATGTGTACCGTACGAGTAATTGCAGAACTCCAGGAAGTGGCCCAAAGCTTGCCCACAACGTCAGGGACCCGTGGTGATTTACAGCCAACGTGACTTGAGCGTGGACAATTAGACCCGTAACAAAGATTGTTTAACAATATACATTCGTCATTTTTAATGATAGAACGTGGTGTTGTCATCAGTGTGACATAAGTATACTAAGTTTGCGGTCGATACCACATTGGGAAGTGGGTTAAAATTGAGCCGCAAGATTTATTTGAGGATACCACGACAGACGGAGTGAGTTCAAATAAATCGGCGTAAGAAAACGGAGGACCGGGAGAAAAATCCACGCGACCACGGGGAGAGAGACACAAACTCCAAATGTACAGCAGGCGTCGGGGTCATGATCAAACCCACGATCTCCTGTACATGAGGCGAGGTAGTCAACATCTCGTAGCCACCGTGATGATGATGATGAGAGAGACACAGACCTCCTGTAGACCAGGCGAGGTAGTTACCATCTCTTAGCCACCGTGATGATGATGATGATGAGAGACACACAGACCTCATGTAGACCAGGCGAGGTAGTTAACATCTCTTAGCCACCGTGATGATGATGATGAGAGAGACACAGACCTCCTGTATACCAGGCGAGGTAGTTAACATCTCATAGTCACCGTGATGATGATAAGAGAGAGAGACACAGACCTCCTGTAGACCAGGCGAGGTAGTTAACATCTCATAGCCACCGTGATGATGATGAGAGAGAGACACAGACCTCCTGTAGACCAGGCGAGGTAGTTACCATCTCTTAGCCACCGTGATGATGATGATGATGAGAGAGACACAGACCTCATGTAGACCAGGCGAGGTAGTTAACATCTCTTAGCCACCGTGATGATGATGATGAGAGAGACACAGACCTCCTGTATACCAGGCGAGGTAGTTAACATCTCATAGTCACCGTGATGATGATAAGAGAGAGAGACACAGACCTCCTGTAGACCAGGCGAGGTAGTTAACATCTCATAGCCACCGTGATGATGATGAGAGAGAGAGACACAGACCTCTTGTAAACCAGGCGAGGTAGTTAACATCTCCTAGCCACCGTGATGATGATGAGAGAGAGACACAGACCTCCTGTAGACCAGGCGAGGCAGTTAACATCTCCTAGCCACCGTGATGATGATGAGAGAGAGACACAGACCTCCTGTAGACCAGGCGAGGTCGTTAACATCTCATAGCCACCGTGATGATGATGATGATGATGAGAGAGACGCAAACTCCACATGTACAGCAGGCGTCAGGGTCGGGATCGAACCCCATGTCCTGTATATCTATGGCCCCTTTTAATGCCATTTCAGAAGTGTTTAAGATGTTTAAACACTAAATAGACACACCTATAGCAAAGGAATCATGAGGTCTGCATTAACCACGCATACTTTAAAACTTTAAAAGCTTTTAAGTTTGTTGTCCTTCCCCCGCACCTCCCGAATAGCACGGTTGGCAATGTGCGGTGCGACAGAAGTTCAACGTATGGACATGCTCTACATTATACACTACACTATACACTACACTACTATATTAAACTGAAAATTAAATTGACAAAGATCCCCCGTGTAGCCTTAACAGACTGTAGGGGCAAGTGCCGTTAGCGAGCAGCGCCTGTGAAGGCCGGAACGGCACACGACGGGGGGGTGGGTGGCCAGCACCACGCCCGGCCGCCTTTGTCTCCCCCAATGGCGATGTTGACTAACACACCGCGCCAGCTACTCATTTGAGGCCGACTCGACCTAGGGGAGGCCCGGGACCGGTTCAGATCAATCGTCACCGGTTGGTGTTGGCCGTGAGCGGGAACCGAACCCGGGTCGCCGGGTTTGTAGCGCGGCGTGGCGCTAACCGCTACACCCACCGCTCCCGACAGAACTGCACCACGCACGCACCCACCCAGGCGCGCGCCCGTTGCGACGAAACGCGAGTTTGATGTTCGACGTCCCCGTCAAACCGGCGTAACGACGAGTCGGGCGGGCCCCGCCATCAGCCGTCCCGTCATTTTTTTTTTTTTTCCTCTCCCTCGGCTAGGTCAGCGGAAGAAGAGGGAGTCGAAGAAGATGAAGGAGAACATTAAAATCACGCTGAAGATGAACAAGCCAGGGGGAAACGACGCCACGGACGCTCACGTCCTGACCAAGCACCCGGGCAGCCTCAAGCCGTACGTCTGCCAGGTACGCCCAGCGCTGCCTTTGGGGCGCCATCACACACACACACAGACAGAGATGTTGATTACTTCGCCTGGTATGCAGGAGGAGGTTCCTGGGTTTCGATCCTGACCCTGACGGCGTCTGCCGTATATTTGGAGCTTGCGCGTCCCTCCGTCTCGGCGTGGTGGTTGCGTGGATTTCTCCGGTTTTTTCCCCCTCCACGTTTAAAATCGAGGGAAATATCCACGCGGTGATGATAAGCCAACTTCGTTGAGCTATGATTTGTGGCCAGGTTGCTTCTACAAAAGATCTGTATAGCTGAGTGTGTGTGTGTGTGTCTCTGTGTGGTAACAACTACAGGGGCATCTCACTCCTCAGTGTGCCGGGAAAGGTCCTGGCAAGGATTATTCAACATCGCCTTGCCAGGCACGCTGAGGAGAGGCTTGCGGAGCCCCAATGCGGTTTCAGGAAAGGGCGGTCCTGCACAGATGCCATATTTTCTGTCCGTCTGCTACAGCAGAGGTGTAGGGAATTCCAGCAAGACCTACATCTCTGCTTTATTGACCTGGTCAAGGCGTATTATACCATCAATAGGCCTGGGCTCTGGGCTGTTCTTCGTGCTTTTGGAGTACCTGACCCTCTGCTCACGATCATTAAGGACCTTCATGATGGTGAGCGGGCCCGGGTAAAACTACATGGCGGGAGTCAGAGCCATTCCCTGTACACCTTGGGGTGCGACAGGGATGTCCTCTGGCTCCCACATTATTTAACATCTATTTTGACCACGTAGTTCGTGAAGCCGTCAATAGCTGTACCGAGGGAATCTCCATATGGCACAGATATAATGGGAGGCCGATCGATGCCCGGGTGCGGTCAAGGGATGGCTCCCTATTGCTCAACCACGTTATGTATGCCGATGATTTGGTAATAGCTGCTCATTCAGAGGAGGAGTTGGAGACGCTGCTGCTGAGACTGGAGCGTGCCACTCAAAGATGGGGCCTTACCATCAGCCCCACCAAAACTAAGCACCTGCCTAGGTATTTTGTACCATCGGACACTCCACCCCCACAACTCCCAATCGGTGATGGGGTAGTTGTGGAGAGTTTCCCATACCTGGGCAGTGTGCTTATGACCGGCTCCAGTTTAACAGCAGAGGTCTCACTCCGAATCAGTCGAGCGGCAATATCTTTTCATCGGTTGCGTAACGCTGTGTGGAAGCTACCTGGTCTGTTGCTCCGCACTAAGCTTCAGGTCTTCTCGGCCACGGTCATTCCCTCCCTTCTCTACGCTTGCGAAACGTGGACTCCCCTAATGGAACATCTTCGCCGGTTAGAAACATTTAGGCTAGCCTGCCTACGATCCATCCTGGGCTTAACCAGACTGGATTGTGTGAGGAGCTCACAAATCCTTGAAATATCTGGGCACGGTCCCATCGGTGAGCTCCTCCGGCGGGCAAGGCTGCGATGGCTGGGTCATGGAACCCGCATGCCCAGCCACCGCATGCCGAAACAGCTTTTGTTCGGCCGGATCGAGGGGGCTAAACGGACGCGGCACGGGCTAGAGAAGAGATGGAGTGACGTGGTACAGGAGGACCTGGAGCTGAGTGGACTTGCCGATGACTGGTACCAGCGGTGTCAAGATCGGCCTCTGTGGAGGAGGCTCGTGAAGGACGCTACTGGGCAGTTGGAAACAGTCGCCCTCCAACAGCAACGGAGGGCGGAGGAGCGACGCTCACAACAACGAGCGGAGCGCCTGGTGGCTAAAGCACAGCAGGTTGGCACAGTAGGGGTCACAGGTGGTGCATTAGCCAGTCATCTCAGTCATCTCAGTCAGTCGACCTGTGGCACCTGGGTCTGCCCCGTGGCCTCCTGCCAGCGGGCGTTCGACACTTCACGTAGCCTCAAGGTGCACATGGCCTGACACAAGCGTCGTGGTGACGTTACCGCCACTTAGTGGCGAATGGCGGTTGTTGTTATATCTGTGTGTGTGTGTATATATATCTGTGTGTGTGTGTATATATATCTGCGTGTGTTTATATCTGTGTGTGTGTGTATCTGTGTGTCCCTCTGCGTGTATCCCCCCGTAGGAGTGTGGCAAGAAGCTCCGCCAGTCCACCGACCTGTTCCGCTACCACACGTGTGTCTGCGTGTGCCTAACTGTATCTATGTGTGTCTGTGTGTGTGTATCTACGTGTGTCTCTGTGTGTGTATCTATCTCTGTATCTATGTGTGTCTCTGTGTGTATCTACGTGTGTCTGTGTGTGTATCTTTGTGTTTCTATGTGTGTCTCTGTGTGTATATCTACGTGTGTCTCTGTGTGTGTATCTATCTCTGTATCTATGTGTGTCTCTGTGTGTGTGTCTGTGTGTCTCTGTGTGTGTATTTATCTCTGTATCTCTGTGTATCTCTGTGTGTCTCTGTGGATCTAACTCTGTGTATCAATGTGTCTCTGTGTGTGTATCTAACTCTGTGTATCTCTGTGTGTCTCTGTGTGTGTGTATCTTTGTGTATCTATGTGTGTCTGTGTGTGTATCTATGTGTGTCTGTGTGTAGCTATGTGTGTCTGTGTGTGTATCTATGTGTTTCTGTGTATCTGTGTGTGTATCTGTGAGTGTATCTATATGTGTCTGTGTGTGTATCTATGTGTATCTATGTGTGTCTCTGTGTGTGTATCTATCTCTGTGTATCTATGTGTGTTTCTGTGTGTATATCTTTGTGTACCTCTGTGTGTCTGTGTGTGTGTATCTATCTAACCCCCTACCTCCTCGTGGTGCCGGACGGGCAACTCTGTCGTGGAAAGTGCTGTGGGGGGAGGGCCAATTCCGATTGGTTCCTCCCCTCATGGCGTCTGTGACCACCACAGGGGCTAAACAGGGGCTCTGGACGGGTGCGAGGGGCTGGTAACCCCTCCAACTTCAAAAAATTACCACGAAACTACGACTTAAACTTAAATATGTAACAAATAAGCTTGTGCCGGAGGCCCCGGGGGGACAGGCGTCTATGACGTCTCCTGGCCAAACCCCAATTGGCGGTGCCAGGAGATTGAATCTCAACCCTCGGGGCTCCTCCAGAAACAATGAAAAGCCACTACGGATGGCCACGTGGAATGTTCGAACGCTCACTGCGGAGGAGAGGCTACCACTCCTCTGTCGGGAGCTGGACCGGTACCACCTGGATATCTGTGGCATTCAGGAGGTCCGGTGGACCGCTTCTGGCTCCTGCCACCATGAGGGGTGGACAGTTCTCTACTCGGGGCAGGAGACTACCAAACAACAGGGTGTGGCTCTTCTTTTGAACAAAAGAATGAAGGGGGCGTGGGAGTGTGGCGGTGAGGTGTGGGAAGCTGTAAGCCCCAGGCTACTTTGTGCTCGCCTTCCCATCAATCGGAGGCTTGGTGGTCGTGGTTACTTATGCCCCCACCGAAGACGAACATCCGTGGAGGGATGCAGGCAAAGCCGATGAGTCAGATGCCTTCTATGACCTCCTGTCACAGGTGCTGCCTAATGTGGCCCCTCGGGATAGAGTCATCTTGTTGGGTGACTTCAATGCCCGAGTTGGTTATGATGCTGGCACCTGACCTGGAGTGATTGGAGGGCATGGCCCGGATCAGCTTAATAACAACAGTAGGAGGCTGCTAGATTTTTGTGCAGCCCATGGACTTGTAATGACCAACATGCTGTTCCGGCATCGGCGCATCCACACAACATCATGGATGCATGCCGGGTCCAAGCAAGAACATCTGCTGGACTACATAGTGACGGACCAACGGATGCGAGCCCATGTCCTTGACACCAGGACCTACCGTGGAGCTGATCTGCCCTCTGACCATCGACTTGTCATCTGTAAGATGCGCCGCCCATTCTTCCGCTCCAGTGGTGGGTGTACACCCAGGACCCCATTCCAACCAAAAGTGGCCTGGTCTCGGTTATCTGATGAAAGTTGCAAGCGAGAATTTCATCATCGCCTGCGGCTGGGGTTGGCATCGTCCCCCACTCCTCCTGATGTCGAGGGTAAATGGGCGAGGTTTAGAACTGTGACTCATGCGGCTGCAATGTCTGCTTTGGGTACGCGGTCAGGACTTCCCCAGAGACCCTGGCTGACAGAGGAGGTGTTCAGGATGGTTGAAAAAAAGCGACAGGCGCACTTTCATCGGCTACAGAATCCCACATCAGAGAATGAGGATGCTTACCGCAACCTTCGCTCAGAGGTTCGGAGAGCCGTGAGGCGCTGCAAGGATGGGTGGTGGTCGCGGGTTGCTGAGGAGATGGAGTCTGCCTCAGTGGCCCGCGATCACAAATCTCTATTTAACTCCATCAAAAACGTAACCTGCAGCGCCACACCTATTACCATCATTAGGGGAAAAACGGTGACCCAATCTCCGACCCCCAGGAACAGGTTTGCAGATTTGCTGAGCATTTCTGTGAGGTCCTGGGGGAGGGAAAATCCCTCAGCCAGGAAAACATCGTGGCACAAAGTGAGGATGACCCTGCTGAGGCTGCGGTTCCTCAAATATTGGAAGAAGTTACCCCCTGTGAGTGGCTGGCTGAAGTGCCATCTGTTGAGGAAGTACTGAGGGCGATCCGGAGTCTGAGACCAGGAAAGGCAGCGGGCAGAGATGATCTCCCAAGCGAAATTCTGAAGGAGGGTGGAGTTTGTGCACAGACTGCCCTATATGACATCATTACAACAGTCTGGACTACTGGACGGGTTCCGCAGGATTGGAAGGATGCCCTGGTGGTCCCCCTCTTTAAGAAGGGGGACCGCACAGACTGTAACAACTACAGGGGCATCTCACTCCTCAGTGTGCCGGGAAAGGTCCTGGCAAGGATTATTCAACATCGCCTTGCCAGGCACGCTGAGGAGAGGCTTGCGGAGCCCCAATGCGGTTTCAGGAAAGGGCGGTCCTGCACAGATGCCATATTTTCTGTCTGTCTGCTACAGCAGAGGTGTAGGGAATTCCAGCAAGACCTACATCTCTGCTTTATTGACCTGATCAAGGCCTATGATACCATCCATAGACCTGGGCTCTGGGTTGTTCTTCGTGCTTTTGGAGTACCTGACCCTCTGCTCACGATCATTATGGACCTTCATGATGGTGAGCGGGCCCGGGTAAAACTACGTGGCCGGGAGTCAGAGCCATTCCCTGTACACCTTGGGGTGCGACAGGGATGTCCTCTGGCTCCCACATTATTTAACATCTATTTTGACCACGTAGTTCATGAAGCCTTCAATAGCTGTACCAGGGGAATCTCCATATGGTACAGATATAATGGGAGGCTGATCGATGCCCGGGTGCGGTCAAGGGATGGCTCCCTATTGCTCAACCACGTTATGTATGCCGATGATTTGGTAATAGCTGCTCATTCAGAGGAGGAGTTGTAGATGCTGCTGCTGAGACTGGAGCGTGCCACTAAGAGATGGGGCTTTACCATCAGCCCCACCAAAACTAAGCACCTGCCTGGGTATTTTGTACCATCGGACACTCCACCCCCACAACTCCCAATCGGTGATGGGGCAGTTGTGGAGAGAGTGGAGAGTTTCCCATACCTGGGCAGTGTGCTTATGACCGGCTCCAGTTTAACAGCAGAGGTCTCACTCCGAATCAGTCGAGCGGCAATATCTTTTCATCGGTTGCGTAACGCTTTGTGGAAGCTACCTGGTCTGTCACTCCGCACTAAGCTTCAGGTCTTCTCAGCCACGGTCATTCCCTCCCTTCTCTACGCTTGCGAAACGTGGATCCCCCTAATGGAACATCTTCGCCGGTTAGAAACATTTAGGCTGGCCTGCCTACGATCCATCCTGGATTTAACCAGACTGGATTGTGTGAGGAGCTCACAAATCCTTGAAAGATCTGGGCAAGGTCCCATCGGTGAGCTCCTCCGGCAGGCAAGGCTGCGATGGCTGAGTCATGTAGCCCGCATGCCCAGCCACCGCATGCCGACACAGCTTTTGTTCGGCCGGATCGAGGGGGCTAAACGGGCGCGGCACGGGCTAGAGAAGAGATGGAGTGATGTGGTACAGGAGGACGTGGACCTGGGTGGACTTGCCGATGACCGGTACCAGCGGTGTCAAGATCGGCCTCTGTGGAGGAGGCACGTGAAGGACGCTACTGGGCAGTTGGAGGTAGTCGCCCTCCAACAACAACGGAGGGCGGAGGAGCGATGCTCACAACAACGAGCGGAGCGCCGGGTGGCTAAAGCACAGCAGGTTGGCACAGTAGGGGGCACAGGTGATACATCAGCCAGTCATCTCAGTCGACCCGTGGCACCTGGGTCTGCCCCCTGACCTCCTGCCAGCGGGCGTTCGACACTCCACGTGGCCTCAAGGTGCATATGGCCTGGCACAAGCGTCGTGGTGACGTCACTGCCACTTAGTGGCGAATGGCGGTTGTTTTGTTGTTGTGTATCTATCTCTGTGTATCTATGTGTGTCTCTGTGTGTGTATCTATCTCCGTGTATCTATGTGTGTCTCTGTATATCTATCTCCGTGTATCTATGTGTGTGTCTGTATCTCCGTGTATCTATTTGAGTCTCTGTGTGTGTGTATCTATCTACGTGTGTCTGTGTGTGTATATCTATCTCTGTGTATCTCTGTGTGTCTGTATATCTATCTCTGTGTATCTCTGTGTGTCCGTGTGTATCTCTCTGTGTATCTCTGTGGGTCTCTGTGTGTGTCTCTGTGTGTGTATCTATCTCTGTGTATCTCTGTGGGTCTCTGTATATCTATCTCCGTGTATCTATGTGTGTCTCTGTGTGTATCTATCTCTGTGTATCTCTGTGGGTCTGTGTGTATCTATCTCTGTGTATCTATGTGTGTCTCTGTGTGTGTATCTATCTCCGTGTATCTATGTGTGTCTCTGTATATCTATCTCCGTGTATGTATGTGTGTCTCTGTGTGTATCTATCTCCGTGTGTCTATGTGTGTCTCTGTGTGTATCTATCTCCGTGTATCTATGTGTGTCTCTGTATATCTATCTCCGTGTATGTATGTGTGTCTCTGTGTGTATCTATCTCTGTGTATCTATGTGTCTCTGTGTGTATCTCCGTGTATGTATGTGTGTCTCTGTGTATATCTCCGTGTATGTATGTGTGTCTCTGTGTGTATCTATCTCTGTGTATCTATGTGTCTCTGTGTGTATCTCCGTGTATGTATGTGTGTCTCTGTGTGTATCTCCGTGTATGTATGTGTGTCTCTGTGTGTATCTCCGTGTATCTATGTGTGTCTCTGTATCTATCTCTGTGTATCTCTGTGGGTCTCTGTGTGTGTCTATCTCGTGTATCTATGTGTGTCTCTGTATCTATCTTTGTGTATCTCTGTGTGTATCTACCTCCGTGTATCTATGTGTGTCTCTGTGTATCTATCTCTGTGTGGGTCTCTGTATATCTACCTCCGTGTGTCTATGTGTGTCTCTGTGTGTACCTCCGTGTGTCTATGTGTGTCTCTGCGTGTGTATCTATCTCCGTGTGTCTATGTGTGTCTGTGTGTATCTACCTGCGTGTGTCTATGTGTGTGTCTATGTGTGTCTCTGTGTGTACCTCCGTGTGTCTATGTGTGTCTCTGCGTGTGTATCTATCTCCGTGTGTCTATGTGTGTCCGTGTGTATCTACCTCCGTATATCTATGTGTGTCTCTGTGTATCTATCTCTGTGTATCTATCTCTGTGTGGGTCTCTGTGTATATCTACCTCCGTGTGTCTATGTGTGTCTCTGTGTATCTACCTCCGTGTGTCTATGTGTGTGTCTGTGTGTGTCTATCTCCGTGTGTCTATGTGTGTGTCCGTGTGTCTATGTGTGTGTCCGTGTGTCCCCCCGTAGGAGTGCGGCAAGGAGTTCCGCCAGTCCACCGACCTGTTCCGCCACCAGACGCTGCACACGGGCGAGCGGCCCCTCAAGTGCGGGGCGTGCGGCAAGGCCTTCGCCCTGCAGGCCGACCTCAACCGGCACGCCATCATCCACACGGAGCAGCGGCCCTACGCCTGCCAGGTGGGGCCCTCCTCTCAACCACCACACTCACACGCACAGTCACACGCACAGTCACACGCACAGTCACACGCACAGTCACACGCACAGTCACACGCACAGTCACACACTCACAAGCACAGTCACAGTCACACGCACAGTCACGTGCACGGTCTCACGCACGCACAGTCACACGCACAGTCACACGCACACAGTCACGCACGCACAGTCACTGTCTGTCTCTCTCCAACGCTCTCTCTCCGTCTCTCTCCGTCTCTCCGTCTCTCTCCGTCCCCCTCCATCCCGATCCACCTCTCACTCTCTCTCCATCTCTCACTCTCTCTCTCCATCTCTCTCCATCTCTCACTCTCTCCATCTCTCTCCATCTCTCTCCATCTCTCACTCACTCTCTCCATCTCTCTCCATCTCTCACTCTCTCCATCTCTCTCCATCTCTCTCCATCTCTCACTCTCTCTCTCCATCTCTCTCCATCTCTCACTCTCTCCATCTCTCTCCATCTCTCTCCATCTCTCACTCTCTCTCTCCATCTCTCTCCATCTCTCACTCTCTCCATCTCTCTCCATCTCTCTCCATCTCTCACTCTCTCCCTCTCCATCTCTCTCCATCTCTCACTCTCTCTCTCCATCTCTCACTCTCTCTCTCCATCTCTCTCCAACTCTCTCCATTTCTCCGTCTCTCTCCGTCTCCCTCTCTCTCTCCGTCCCCCTCCATCCCCATCCATCTCTCTCTCTCTCCATCTCTCTCCGTCTCTCTCCGTCCCCCTCCATCCCCGATCCGTCTCTCACTCTCCCCGTGTCTCCACACGTGCAGGAGTGCGGCAAGGCGTTCCGCTGGTCCCAGAGCCTGGTGCACCACCGGCGCTCGCACAGCGACGTGCGCGAGTTCCGCTGTGACGCCTGCGGCAAGGACTTCAAGCATCGGCGCACCCTCGTGCAGCACTGCAAGACCAACTGCGCCGGCGCCATCGCCGCCGACGCCGACGACGCCGACGACGCCGACGCCGATGCCGACGGCGCCGATGACGACGGCCAGCAGCTGCAGCAGCGGCAGGAGCAGCAGCGGCAACAGCAAGGTGGCCGCCAAGCCTCCACGGTGGCACCGGGCGCGTTTGCCGCCACGGTGGTACCGGTGCCGAGAAGCAGTGAGCGTGCTGGTACCACTGTGGAGAGTGGGTATGGGTGTCTCTGTGTGAGTCTGTGGGTCTCTGTGTGGTGAGTCTGTGGGTCTCTGTGAGTCTGTGGGTCTCTGTGAGTCTGTGGGTCTCTGTGAGTCTGTGGGTCTCTGTGAGTCTGTGGGTCTTTGTTAGTCTACGGGTCTCTGTGAGTCTGTGGGTCTCTGTGAGTCTGTGGGTCTTTGTTAGTCTACGGGTCTCTGTGAGTCTGTGGGTCTCTGTGTGACGAGTCTACGGGTCTCTGTGAGTCTGTGGGTCTCTGTTTGGTGAGTCTATGGGTCTCTGTGTGTGGTGAGTCTGTGGGTCTCTGTGTGACGAGTCTATGGGTCTCTGTGTGAGTCTATGGGTGTCTCTGTGAGTCTGTGGGTCTCTTGTGTGGTGAGTCTATGTGTCTCTGCAAGTCTGTGGGTCTCTGTGAGTCTGTGGGTCTCTGTGTGGTGAGTCTACGGGTCTCTGTGAGTCTATGGGTCTCTGTGTGAGTCTATGGGTGTCTCTGAGTCTGTGGGTCTCTGTGTGACGAGTCTACGGGTCTCTGTATGAGTCTATGGGTGTCTCTGTGAGTCTGTGGGTCTCTGAGTCTGTGGGTCTCTGTGTGACGAGTCTATGGGTGTCTCTGTGAGTCTGTGGGTCTCTGTGTGACGAGTCTACGGGTCTCTGTGAGTCTGTCGGTCTCTTGTGTGACGAGTCTACGGGTCTCTGTGTGAGTCTGTGGGTCTCTGTGAGTCTGTTGGTCTCTGTGTGAGTCTATGGGTGTCTCTCTGAGTCTGTGGGTCTCTGTGTGACAAGTCTACGGGTCTCTGTGAGTCTGTCGGTCTCTGTGTGACGAGTCTACGGGTCTCTGTGTGAGTCTGTGGGTCTCTGTGTGTCTGTGGGTCTCTGTGAGTCTGTTGGTCTCTGTGTGAGTCTATGGGTGTCTCTCTGAGTCTGTGGGTCTCTGTGTGACGAGTCTACGGGTCTCTGTGTGAGTCTATGGGTGTCTCTGTGAGTCTGTGGGTCTCTGTGTGGTGAGTCTATGGGTCTCTGTGAGTCTGTGGGTCTCTGTGTGGTGAGGCTATGGGTCTCTGTGAGTCTGTGGGTCTCTGTGTGGTGAGTCTATGGGTCTCTGTGAGTCTATGGGTCTCTGTGAGTCTGTTGGTCTCTGTGTGACGAGTCTACGGGTCTCTGTGTGAGTCTATGGGTGTCTCTGTGAGTCTGTGGGTCTCTGTGTGGTGAGTCTATGGGTCTCTGTGAGTCTGTGGGTCTCTGTGTGGTGAGGCTATGGGTCTCTGTGAGTCTGTGGGTCTCTGTGTGGTGAGTCTATGGGTCTCTGTGAGTCTATGGGTCTCTGTGAGTCTGTGGGTCTCTGTGTGACGAGTCTACGGGTCTCTGTATGAGTCTATGGGTGTCTCTGTGAGTCTGTGGGTCTCTGAGTCTGTGGGTCTCTGTGTGACGAGTCTATGAGTGTCTCTGTGAGTCTGTGGGTCTCTGTGTGACGAGTCTACGGGCCTCTGTGAGTCTGTGGGTCTCTGTGTGACGAGTCTACGGGTCTCTGTGTGAGTCTATGGGTGTCTCTGTGAGTCTGTGGGTCTCTGTGTGGTGAGTCTATGGGTCTCTGTGAGTCTGTGGGTCTCTGTGTGGTGAGCCTATGGGTCTCTGTGAGTCTGTGGGTCTCTGTGTGGTGAGTCTATGGGTCTCTGTGAGTCTGTGGGTCTCTGTGAGTCTGTGGGTCTCTGTGAGTCTATGGGTCTCTGCGAGTCTGTGGGTGTCTGTGTGATGAGTCTATGGGTGTCTCTGTGAGTCTGTGGGTCTCTGTGTGACGAGTCTACGGGTCTCTGCGAGTCTGTGGGTCTCTGTGAGTCTGTGGGTCTCTGTGTGATGAATCTACGGGTCTCTGTGAGTCTGTGGGTCTCTGTGAGTCTGTGGGTCTCTGTGTGACGAGTCTATGGGTCTCTGTGAGTCTGTGGGTCTCTGTGTGATGAGTCTATGGGTGTCTCTGTGAGTCTGTGGGTCTCTGTGTGACGAGTCTACGGGTCTCTGTGAGTCTGTGGGTCTCTGTTTGGTGAGTCTATGGGTCTCTGTGTGTGGTGAGTCTGTGGGCCTCTGTGAGTCTGTGGGTCTCTGTGTGACGAGTCTATGGGTCTCTGTGTGAGTCTATGGGTGTCTCTGTGAGTCTGTGGGTCTCTGTGTGGTGAGTCTATGGGTCTCTGCGAGTCTGTGGGTCTCTGTGTGGTGAGTCTACGGGTCTCTGTGAGTCTATGGGTCTCTGTGAGTCTGTGAGTCTCTGTGAGTCTGTGGGTCTCTGTGTGATGAATCTACGGGTCTCTGTGAGTCTGTGGGTCTCTGTGTGACGAGTCTATGGGTCTCTGTGTGAGTCTATGGGTGTCTCTGTGAGTCTGTGGGTCTCTGTGAGTCTGTGGATCTCTGTGAGTCTGTGGGTCTCGGTGTGACGAGTCTATGGGTCTCTGTGAGTCTACGGGTCTGTGAGTTTGTGGGTCTCAGTGAGTCTGTGGGTCTCTGTGTGGTGAGTATGGGTCTCTGTGAGTCTGTGGGTCTCTGTGTGACGAGTCTATGGGTCTCTGTGAATCTGTGGGTCTCGGTGTGACGAGTCTATGGGTCTCTGTGAGTCTGTGGGTCTCTGTGTGACGAGTCTGTGGGTCTCTGTGAGTCTGTGGGTCTCTGTGTGACGAGTCTATGGGTCTCTGTGAGTCTGTGGGTCTCTGTGTGACGAGTCTACGGGTCTCTGTGAGTCTGTGGGTCTCTGTGAGTCTGTGGGTCTCTGTGTGGTGAGTCTATGGGTCTCTGCGAGTCTGTGGGCTCTGTGAGTCTATGGGTCTCTGTGTGACGAGTCTACGAGTCTCTGTGAGTCTGTGGGTCTCGGTGTGACAAGTCTATGGGTCTCTGTGAGTCTGTGGATCTCTGTGAGTCTGTGGGTCTCTGTGTGATGAGTCTATGGACCTCTGTGTGACGAGTCTATGGGTCTCTGTGAGTCTGTGGGTCTCTGTGTGACGAGTCTATGGGTCTCTGTGTGATGAGTCTATGGGTCTCTGTGTGATGAGTCTATGGGTCTCTGTTTGATGAGTCTATGGGTCTCTGCATGGTGAGTCTGTGGGTCTCTGTGTGGTGAGTCTATGGATCTCGGTGTGACGAGTCTATGGATCTCTGTGTGACGAGTCTATGGGTCTCTGTGTGACGAGTCTATGGCTCTCTGTGTGACGAGTCTATGGGTCTCGGTGTGACGAGTCTATGGGTCTCGGTGTGACGAGTCTATGGGTCTCTGTGTGACAAGTCTATGGGTCTCGGTGTGACGAGTCTATGGATCTCGGTGGCCGCTTTTGTGATGGGGGGAACTGACGGGAAATTCCACATTCCCATGCCGTGCGTTTCTGCCGCAGGCGGGAGTGGTGTGCACCAGGCCCTGGATGAGGAGGAAGATGAAGAGGAGGAAGATGAAGAGGAGGAAGATGAAGAGGAGGAGGAGGAGCGATCCCAGGACAGCGTCCGAACGAATCTGCAGCTGCAGCAGCAGCAGCAGACCCCATCAGGCAGGACACACGCCAACTCAGCCCCCGCGGGAAATAAATAAATTATAATTAGTTAAAATTATAACTACCACTACTGGTAGTCGATTCTGTACCACGTTACCATCCACCATCCCATCTAGTAGTAGTACTAGCACTAGTAGCACTAGTAGTAGTACTAGCACTAGTAGTAGCACTACTAGTAGTCGATTCTGTACTACGCTACCATCCATCCCATCTCGTAGTAGTATTAGCACTAGTGGTACTACTACCACTACTAGTAGTAGTAGTACTAGTAGCACTACTCCGTTCTGTACCACGTTACAATCCACCATCCCATCTTTTCGCTGCCACTTTAAGTATTTTCCATGTTTTGTTCCGACTCTCACCAACGCATCCTGGGAATCATCCGGGCTATGCCTGAACGCTTGTGCGTTGAACTTCTGTTGCACCGTACGTAGCCAACCGTGCTCATCGTCGTCGTTATTGTTGTTGTTGACGTTGTCATTGCAGACGACTTCCAGATCATCTCCTCCGAGCCTCCAAAGAGAAAAGGTAATAAAAAAATCCCGTGTAGGATTTCACAGTCACGCTGTACACGGTGCTTCAAACAGATGGACCCAATTTCAAAGCAGTACATTTCACGATGGCAACGCGTTACAATCACACGCAAAGCTGCGAAACGGTTCAACGAGTTATAAATGCTCGACGTGCCCCCTCCAGCTGCTGTACGCGACAACATCGGGACGATAGTTAGTCCCAAACGAGGTGCGTGGTCGCTCCCGTGCTCTTTCCCCCTGACATCACCAGCAGCCCGTTCGCCTCAAATTGTCAGCACCAACGACGAACGCTCTTTGGCAGTGGCGGGTCGATGCCAAAACGCCGTCGAAACGCACGCCCCACCGCGATAACGGATTCTCGTCTCGGCGGACTGCAGAACGCAAAACGCCGCATTTGTGTTGCTGTGGGGGTCACCGTCTAGCCAGCGACCGAGGCTAGGGGCTGTTCGTGCACTGGGAGAGGCATCGAGCGGAAATCATTTTAAACTCCGTGCCCCGCCCTCTCTATGCCCCGCCTTCTCTGTGCCCTGCCCTCTCCGTGCCCCGCCCTGTCTGTGCCCCACCCTGTCTGTGCCCCGCCCTGTCTGTGCCCCGCCCTGTTTGTGCCCCGCCCTGTTTGTGCCCCGCCTTCTCTATGCCCCTCCCTCTATATGCCCCGCCCTCTCTGTGCTTCGCCCTCTGTTCCCCGCCCTCTGTGCCCCGCCCTCTGTGCCCCGCCCTCTCTATGCCCCGCCCTCTCTATGCCCCGACTTCTCTATGCCCCACCCTCTCTATGCCCCGACTTCTCTATGCCCCACCCTCTCTATGCCCCGCCCTTTCAAGTGGTCAGAGGTTCATTCATGGGCGGTTCGTGGTTGCAGAGATTTCGCGATTTCAAATAGGGTCATCTACTACTACTTACTAATAACACTTATTACTACTTATTAATAACACTTATTACTACTTATTAATAACACTTATTACTACTACTTATTAATAACACTTATTACTACTACTTATTAATACTACTTATTACTAACACTTATTACTACTACTTATTACTAACACTTATTACTACTACTTATTAATAACACTTATTACTACTTATTAATAACACTTATTACTACTTATTAATAACACTTATTACTACTACTTATTCATAACACTTATTACTACTACTTATTCATAACACTTATTACTACTACTTATTCATAACACTTATTACTACTACTTATTCATAACACTTATTACTACTACTTATTCATAACACTTATTACTACTACTTATTCATAACACTTATTACTACTACTTATTCATAACACTTATTACTACTACTTATTCATAACACTTATTACTACTACTTATTCATAACACTTATTACTACTACTTATTCATAACACTTATTACTACTACTTATTCATAACACTTATTACTACTACTTATTCATAACACTTATTACTACTACTTATTCATACTACTTATTACTAACACTTATTAATACTACTTATTACTACTACTTATTCATAACACTTATTACTACTACTTATTCATAACACTTATTACTACTACTTATTAATACTACTTACTACTACTTATTCATAACACTTATTACTACTACTTATTAATAACACTTATTACTACTACTTATTAATAACACTTATTACTACTACTTATTAATAACACTTATTACGACTACTTATAAATAACACTTATTACTACTACTTATTAATAAAACTTATTACTACTACTTATTCATAACACTTAATACTACTACTTATTCATAACACTTAATACTACTACTTATTAATAACACTTATTACTACTTATTAACACTTATTACTACTGCTTATTAATAACACTTAATACTACTACTTATTAATAACACTTAATACTACTACTTATTAATAACACTTAATACTACTACTTATTAATAACACTTATTACTACTACTTATTAATAACACTTATTACTACTACTTATTAATAACACTTATTACTACTACTTATTAATAACACTTATTACTACTACTTATTAATAACACTTATTACTACTACTTATTAATAACACTTATTACTACTACTTATTACTACTACTTGTTACTACTACTTATTCATAACACTTACTACTACTTATTACTAATACTACTTATTACTACTACTCATTACTACTACTAATACTTATTACTACTAATGCTTATTACTACTTATCACTAATACTTATCACTACTACTTATTACTACTACTACTTATTACTACTAATCACTAATACATTGATTATTCGACTTGATCATCTGGGAGAGTCTCAAGAGGCTCTTGCCAGGTGTTGGCAGTAGGGGTACTGATATTGCTGCTGCTGCTGTGTGGGTCTGGCCTAGGGGCACCCCCAGTGGCAGCTGTCCCTGTGCATCAGTCTGTCAGTAGGGGTAGCCATGCTGCTGCTGCTGTGAGATCCCAGTTTAGGGATTTGTTGCAGGGAATTGTTGAGCAGTGGGGGTGTGGATGTGGCCGCTACCAGTTCCACTGTGGGTGTGGGTTTAGCTGTGGGGGGGAGCGGAGAACCTGGAGGGTTACCCATGCAGAGCAGGGGGAGATCACTCACACTCACTCATACACACTCACACTCACTCACTTACTCACACACTCACACTCACTTACTCACACACTCACTCACTCTCACTCACTCACAACAACAACCGCCATTCGCCACTAAGTGGCGGCGACATCACCACGGCGCTTGTGCCAGGCCATGTGCACCTTGAGGCCACGTAAAGTGTCGAACGCCCGCTGGCAGGAGGTCACGGGGCAGACCCAGCAGGTGCCACGGGTCAACTGACTGAGATGACTGGCTGATGCACCACCTGTGCCCCCCTACTGTGCCAACCTGCTGTGCTTTAGCCACCCGGCGCTCCGCTTGTTGTTGTGAGCATCGCTCCTCCGCCCTCCGTTGCTGTTGGAGGGCGACTGCCTTCAACTGCCCAGTAGCGTCCTTCACGAGCCTCCTCCACAGAGGCCGTTCTTGACACCGCTGGTACCAGTCATCGGCAAGTCCACTCAGCTCCACGTCCTCCTGTACCACATCACTCCATCTCTTCTCTAGCCCGTGCCGCGCCCGATTAGCCCCTCAATCCGGCCGAACAAAAGCTGTTTCGGCATGCGTTGGCTGGGCATGCGGGCTACATGACCCAGCCATCGCAGCCTTGCCTGCCGGAGGAGCTCAGCGATGGGACCGTGCCCAGATCTTTGAAGGATTTGTGAGCTCCTCACACAATCCAGCCTGGTTAAACCCAGGATGGATCGTAGGCAGGCCAGCCTAAATGTTTCTAACTGGCGAAGATGTTCCATTAGGGGGGGTCCACGTTTCGCAAGCGTAGAGAAGGGAGGGAATGACCGTGGCCGAGAAGACCTGAAGCTTAGTGCGGAGCGACAGACCAGGTAGCTTCCACACAGCATTACGCAACCGATGAAAAGATATTGCCGCTCGACTGATTCGGAGTGAGACCTCTGCTGTTAAACTGGAGCCGGTCATAAGCACACTGCCCAGGTATGGGAAACTCTCCACTCTCTCCACAACTGCCCCATCACCGATTAGGGGAGTTGTGGGGGTGGAGTGTCCGATGGTACAAAATACCCAGGCAGGTGCTTAGTTTTGGTGGGGCTGATGGTAAGGCCCCATCTCTTAGTGGCACGCTCCAGTCTCAGCAGCAGCGTCTCCAACTCCTCCTCTGAATGAGCAGCTATTACCAAATCATCGGCATACATAACGTGGTTGAGCAATAGGGAGCCATCCCTTGACCGCACCCGGGCATCGATGAGCCTCCCATTATATCTGTACCATATGGAGATTCCCCCGGTACAGCTATTGAAGGCTTCACGAACTACGTGGTCAAAATAGATGTTAAATAATGTGGGAGCCAGAGGACATCCCTGTCGCACCCCAAGATGTACAGAGAATGGCTCTGACTCCCGGCCACGTAGTTTTACCCGGGCCCGCTCACCATCATGAAAGTCCTTAATGATCGTGAGCAGAGGGTCAGGTACTCCAAAAGCACGAAGAACAACCCAGAGCCCAGGCCTACTGATGGTATTATAGGCCTTGATCAGGTCAATAAAGCAGAGATGTAGGTATTGCTGGAATTCCCTACACCTCTGCTGTAGCAGACGGACAGAAAATATGGCATCTGTGCAGGACCGCCCTTTCCTGAAACCGCATTGGGGCTCCGCAAGCCTCTCCTCAGCGTGCCTGGCAAGGCGATGTTGAATAATCCTTGCCAGGACCTTTCCCAGCACACTGAGGAGTGAGATGCCCCTGTAGTTGTTACAGTCTGTGCGGTCCCCTTCTTAAAAAGGGGGACCACCAGGGCATCCTTCCAATCCTGCGGGACCCGCCCAGTGGTCCAGACTGTTGTTTTGATGTCATATAGGGCAGTCTGTGCACAAACGCCACCCTCCCTCAGCATTTCGCTTGGGAGATCATCTCTGCCCGCTGCCTTTCCTGGTCTCAGACTCCGGATCGCCTTCAGTACTTCCTCAACAGATGGCACCTCAGCCAGCCACTCACAGGGGGTGACTTCTTCCAATATTTGAGGAACCGCAGCCTCAGCAGGGTAATCCTCACTTTGTGCCACGATGTTTTCCTGGCTGAGGGATTTTCCCTCCCCCAGCACCTCACAGAAATGCTCAGCAAATCTGCAAACCTGTTCCTAGGGGTCGGAGATTGGATCACCGTTTTTTCCCCTAATAATGGTAATAGCTGTGGCGCTGCAGGTTACTTTTTTGATGGAGTTAAATAGAGTTTTGTGATCGCGGGCCACTGAGGCAGACTCCATCTCCTCAGCAACCCGCGACCACCACCCATCCTTCCAGCGCCTCACGGCTCTCCGAACCTCCGAGCGAAGGCTGCAGTAAGCCTCCTCATTCTCTGACGTGGGATTCTGTAGCCGTTGACAGTGGGCCTGTTGCTTTTGCTCAACCATCCTGAACACCTCCTCTGTCAGCCAGGGTCTCTGGGGAGGTCTGGACCGTGTACCCAAAGCAGCCATTGCAGCTGCATGAGTCAGTCCTAAACCTCGCCCATTTACCCTCGACATCTGGAGGAGTCGGGGACGATGCCAATCCCAGCCGCAAGCGATGATGAAATTCTCGCTTGCAACTTTCATCAGATAACTGAGACCAGGCCACTTTAGGTTGTAATGGGGTCCTGGGTGTGCACCCACCACCGGAGTGGAAGAATGGCAGGCGCATCTTACAGATGACTAGTCGATGGTCAGAGGGCACATCAGCTCCATGGTAGGTCCTGGTGTCAAGGACATGGGCTCGCATCTGCTGGTCCGTCACTATGTAGTCCAGCAGATGTTCTTGCTTGGACTCGCACACACTCACTCACACACACTCACACACACTCACTCACACACACACACTCACTTACTCACACTCACTCACACTCACTCACACTGTATAACGGGTAGAACACTCACACACACACACCTCCCGAATAGTCTAAACAGACTGTTGGGGCAAGTGCTGTTAGCGAGCACCTATGAAGACCGACACGGCACACGAGGGGGTGGGTGACCAGCACCACGCCCGGCCGCCTTTGTCTCCCCAGTGGCGATGTTCACTACACATCGCACCGGGTACTCATTTGAGGCTGAGTCGACCTAGGGGAGGAGGCCCAGGACCGGTTCAGATAATCGCTATCACCGGTGTTGGCCGTGAGCGGGAATCGAACTTGGGGTCGCCGGGTTCGTAGCGCAGCGCTAACCGCTGCACCACCGCTCCCCATGCAATCATTCACACACACACCTATACCAACGTCCGCCGTTCTCCAATAAGTGACGGTGACGTCACCACGGCACCTGTGCCAAGCTAGGTGCACTCTGAGGCTCTCGCGTTAAGTGTCGAAGGCTTGCTCCTGGCAGGTGACGGGACAGACCCAGAAGATGCCGTGGGTCGACGGGAGTGAGACGACTGGCAGATGCACCACCTGTGCCCCCTACTGTGCCAGTAGGGGGCCTTAACATGAAGGCCGGTAGGGCACACGAGGGGGTGGGTGACCAGCACCACGGCCGTCCGCCTTTGTCTCCCCAGTGGCGACAGCACACGACCACCGCCACACTGTGTTTAACCACCATCACGCGGCAGGTCACAACTACGGCAGCACCGACTCACCCACCCCACATACTGCTGGGTCACCTCGCAGTCTCTCTCCGTCCCTCGCTCCGTCCCACGTTTCTAAATCTCTCCTCTCTCCCCGCCACCGCCATCCCCGTCACCACCACCACCCTCACCGTCACCACCCTCACCACCACCACCCTCACCGTCACCACCCTCACCACCACCACCGCCATCCCCGTCACCACCCTCACCACCACCACCCTCACCACCACCACCCTCACCACCACCACCCTCACCACCCTCACCACCACCAACACCACCACCGCCATCCCCGTCACCACCACCACCCTCACCACCACCACCACCCTCACCACCACCACCACCCTCACCACCACCACCACCCTCACCACCACCACCACCCTCACCACCACCACCACCCTCACCACCACCACCCTCACCCTCACCACCACCCTCACCACCGCCATCCATGCTGTCACCGCCGTCAACACCCTCACCACCACCACCCTCGCCACCACCACCACCACCCTCACCGTCGCCAGGCATCGCGGTCCACCGCTCCCAGCCGCGCGGCCCCACGTCCGCCCTCAAGAAGTTCCTGTGCCAGGACTGCGGCAAGGGCTTCCGGCAGGCGACGGACCTGGTGCGCCACCGCAGCCTGCACACGGGCGAGCGCAACGCGCTGTGCGGCGTCTGCGGCAAGGGCTTCGCGCTCGCCAGCGACCTGGCGCGCCACGGACGCACGCACGACCCCTCCGGCGAGCGCTACCCCTGCTCGCAGTGCGGCAAGCTCTTCGGCTGCCGCCGCTCGGCGCTGCTCCACGAGTCGGCGCACTCGCGGCCGCCGGGGCCGCGGAGCCGGAGAGGCGGCGGAGGCGGCGGAGGCGGTGGAGGGAGGCGGCGGCAGCTGCAAGAGGAGGAGGGCAAACGACGTTTGGCGAGGGCCGCCAAGCGCGACGCCGCCACCAACTCGGCCGTCGCCGCCGCGACCGCCGCTTTGCGCCTGCAGCCCGCGTAGCGGTAGCCCCCCCCCCGCCCCCGCCTCCTCATCCTCATCCTCCCATTCCGAGGTGGAGGAGGGCAGCGACGACGGCTCCCGACTCGGCCTGCGGCCTGCGTAGTCGGGCCCACGGGCCCACCCGCCCACCCGCCCGGTCGGTCGTGCCGTGGACGCCCGGGGCGTCCTCCAAGGGGAGGCGGAGGGCTGACGGCGGTTGGCGAGGGGCCGGCAAGCGCCACGGCTCCACGGTCGCCTGGGCCGTCACCGCCGCTTTGCGCCCGAGGCCTGCGTGGGAGGCCCCCGGTCGGTCGTGGACGCTCGGGGCCTGCAGGAGGAGGAGGAGGATGGCGGCAGGCGACGTCTCGGCTGCTCGCCGCGGCCAACTCGGCCCGCAGCTTGCGTGGGAGGCCCCCGGTCGGTCGTGCCGTGGATGGGTTTGACGGTCGGGGGGGGCCTACGGATTTCAGCGCGGTCGGCGCGGAAGAAGTTGGACGTACGGGGGGGGCCTAGCAAAGGCTGGCGGGGTTGCCCTCGTAAAGATTCTCCGTGGAGACCCGGACGGGCTGCCTGGCGCCGCGAGGGACGAACTTTTCCCTGCCTTGGTGGCCCCTCGGCAACCCGTTGGGTCTACGCAAGGCCGCCCGCCGCCCCGCCTTCTCGTTTTTAAGGTTGTGTTGGGCCTAGGTTGAAGGGGCCTGGGTCGGTACGGCAGGACGTCAACCGTTAAGTCGTTTCTGTTTATGTTGGGGAGACGGGACGACGTTTAAATTCGCGAAGCCGGCCGTTACCGTCGGCTCAACGGCGTTTGGATTCTTGGTAATGCGTTTCCCCGGGGGGGGGGGGGGGGTGGGGTGGTGATTTTTTTCGTTTTAAAAATAAAAAATTGGAGGGAAAACAGATGCGGCCCGCGTTCTGGAAAAATCATGTTACAATAAACTATTTGCAACCGCAGCGGACTCTCGATCGTCCGCGCTAACGGCGGCGAGGACGGACGCGGATTAATCCAACAACGTTCCATTTTCCGCGGATGTCGGTGCCAAAAAAAATCAATCGCGAGTTAAGAAAATGCCGTTGGTTAATGAACAAAACTAAAATTTGTAGTAATTAATGCATTGATCTTGTTCTATTGCATAAGTCAATTTCGATTCGGAGCTAATATTAACGATAGACCGGTCCGTGATGCCTGTGCTGAGTGACAATAAAACTTTCCTGCTCCCGCCCAGCAGAAGACGCGGCCCACTGAGTGAATGACAGCAGAGCCACAGCCAATCAACATCAATCAAACTCAGCCCACTGAGTGAATGACAGCAGAGCCACAGCCAATCAACATCAAACTCCGCCCACGGAATGACAGCAGAGCCACAGCCAATCAATATCAAACTCCGCCCACTGGATGACAGCAGAGCCACAGCCAATCAACATCAATCAAACTCAGCCCACTGAGCGGATGACAGCAGAGCCACAGCCAATCAACATCAAACTCCGCCCACTGGATGACAGCAGAGCCACAGCCAATCAACATCAATCAAACTCAGCCCACTAAGTGAATGACAGCAAAGCCACAGCCAATCAACATCAAACTCCGCCCACTGAGCGGATGACAGCAGAGCCACAGCCAATCAACATCAAACTCCGCCCACTGAGCGGATGACAGCAGAGCCACAGCCAATCAACATCAAACTCTGCCCACTGGATGACAGCAGAGCCACAGCCAATCAACATCAATCAAACTCCACCCACTAAGTGAGTGACAGCAGAGCCACAGCCAATCAACATCAATCAAACTCCACCCACTGGATGACAGCAGAGCCACAGCCAATCAACATCAAACTCCACCCACTGGATGACAGCAGAGCCACAGCCAATCAACATCAATCAAACTCAGCCCACTGAGTGAATGACAGCAGAGCCACAGCCAATCAACATCAAACTCTGCCCACTGGATGACAGCAGAGCCACAGCCAATCAACATCAATCAAACTCAGCCCACTGAGCGGATGACAGCAGAGCCACAGCCAATCAACATCAAACTCTGCCCACTGGATGACAGCAGAGCCACAGCCAATTAACATCAATCAAACTCAGCCCACTAAGTGAATGACAGCAGAGCCACAGCCAATCAACATCAAACTCCGCCCACTGAGCGGATGACAGCAGAGCCACAGCCAATCAACATCAAACTCGGCCCACTGGATGACAGCAGAGCCACAGCCAATCAACATCAATCAAACTCCACCCACTAAGTGACTGACAGCAGAGCCACAGCCAATCAACATCAATCAAACTCCACCCACTGGATGACAGCAGAGCCACAGCCAATCAACATCAAACTCCGCCCACTGGATGACAGCAGAGCCATAGCCAATCAACATCAATCAAACTCCGCCCACTAAGTGAGTGACAGCAGAGCCACAGCTAATCAACATCAAACTCCGCCCACTCGATAACAGCAGAGCCATAGCCAATCAACATCAATCAAACTCCGCCCACTAAGTGAGTGACAGCAGAGCCACAGCCAATCAACATCAATCAAACTCCACCCACTAAGTGAGTGACAGCAGAGCCACAGCCAATCAACATCAATCAAACTCCGCCCACTAAGTGAATGACAGCGGAGCCGCAGCCAATCAACATCAATCAAACTCAGCCCACTAAGTGGATGACAGCAGAGCCACAGCCAATCAACATCAATCAAACTCCGCCCACTGGATGACAGCAGAGCCATAGCCAATCAACATCAATCAAACTCAGCCCACTGAGTGGATGACAGCAGAGCCACAGCCAATCAACATCAATCAAACTCCGCCCACTTAGTGGATGACAGCAGAGCCACAGCCAATTAACATCAATCAAACTCCGCCCACTGAGCGAATTACAGCAATGCACGCCCGCTTTTCAAATGATCAAACAACGGGCTTCAGGGAAAATCCACGAGTTGTTAACAATAACGTCAAATTGTTAGGTGCGCAGTGAATCCGCAAATCGGATGAACCGCACGCGGATGATCGAGAGTCCGGCGTACAGGCTGAAGGGCACGGTCCTCGGCAACACCGTGAGATGCTGAACGTTGGGCCGAACAGAGGCCGAGGTCGCTTGCTGGGCAGCAGCATCGAGAAGAATCCAGCAGCATCCACAGCGCCCCCTTGTTGCGACGACGATGACGATGCCACGCCGGGGCAGCCGCGACGTAGTTCCGTTCAACCCGGATCGCGCGATAGATCCAATTCACGTCCGCGTTCGAAAAACGGTGCTCCCTCATCGCGTCCATCGCACCATGTCCAATTGGCGTTGTGAACACACGCGGCGTTATAGGAGAACAGGCTGCAAGCGACCCAAAAGTAGAGCATTCAAAATAAAGTGTGGTTTTTTTTCTTCATTGTGTGTTTAGATGGCTTAAGTCTGTATGTCGTTTCGTTAACCCTCCATTGACAGCCGGCACAGCCAATTAGTGAGGTTGTATTCTAGATTTGAAGCTTTCGTGATTGCAAAGATCCATACTCTTTGGTTCTATTCGGTAAAGTCACGTAGGTAAAAAATAAAATAACAAAAATCACTGTCCTCTGGACAGTCCGGTCCCTTCACCTGATGAAGGCCACTTGTGTTGTGGCCGAAACGTCGTGATTTTTGTTATTTTATTTTTACCTACGTGACTTTACCGAATAGAACCAAAGAGTAGTGAGGTTAAATTTCGATTTAAAGCTTTCGTGACTGCAAGGATTCATCTTCTTTGGTTCTTTCGGTAAAGTCACGTAGAATGAGAATAAAATAATAAATTGATAAAATAAAATAATATTCTCACGACGTTTCGGCCACAACACAAGCGGCCTTCATCAGGTGAAGGGACGAGACTGTCTGGTAGGACAGCGCTGGAGCGCTGATGAAGGCCACTTGTGTTGTGGCCGAAACGTCGTGACAATATTATTGTGTTATTTTATTTTATCAATTTATTATTTTATTCTCATTCTACGTGACTTTACCGAAAGAACCAAAGAATAGTGAGGTTGTGTCACGTAAACCAGACCTGGCGATCGGTGGCCTGCAACGCCACCGGTGTGTTGGAGAGTAAATCCACGGCAGCGTTTGCAATTGCCAGAGGTTGTGGGTTAACATTTACAAAGAGGATACCCGAAATAGGTTTTTTGTTTTTTTTAATCTGCTAACGAGTTTTTAAGGAGTAATAAAAGTTAATACAGAGCACGCGCCAGAGATGGTGGCGGAGATGGAGTTTAGAGGTCTGATTTGAGGTGCAACAGTGGCAAGATGTTAACGAGCTCGCCTGGTGTACGGGAGGTCGTGGGTTCGATCCAGACCCTGTGACGCCTGCTGCTGTATGTTTGGAGTTTGCGTGTCTCTCATCATCATCACGGTGGCAAGATGTTAACGAGCTCGCCTGGTGTACGGGAGGTCGTGGGTTCGATCCAGACCCTGTGACGCCTGCTGCTGTATGTTTGGAGTTTGCGTGTCTCTCATCATCATCACGGTGGCTAGAAGACGTTAACTAGCTCACCTGGCGTACGGGAGGTCGCGTGTTCGACCCAACTGCCGTATGTTTGGAGTTTGTGTGTGTGTCTCTCTCTCGCCGTGGTAGTCGCATGTTTTGTCCTTCCACGTTTGGAATCAACATGGCGCATTCAGAGGATTTGACTGCCGCTATAAGTGTCCACATGACGATGATGACAATTCACTTCGTTGAGCCGTGTTCGCTTGCGATGGCCAGGTCAGGGCTTCTGAAAGTTGAGCTACACGCAGCAGATCGGTGGGGGCCTTAGCTGGTAAATGAAACAGCCATCGCAAAAGGCGAGTTTGGGGACCCTTGCCCGGACGTCCAATTTCACCTCTCCATCGGTGATTTTCCCGGCCGCCTTCAATGGCGAGGCAGCGATGCCAACTCCCTCGCCGTCTTCCACTCCATGGCCTGTAGGGCTCTGTACGTAAACTAAAGTGTATTTCTCATGATGGCACAACGAAGCGGCTTGTCATCACGCGTGGAAATCAGACGCGCGATGTTGATTCTAAACGCGGTGGGGAAAACCGGAGGGACCTGGAGAACAATCGACGCGACCCACGGGGAGAGCGAGAGAGACTTGCGCAAAATTACCGTCATTTTGCTGCGCTAGTTACACCTCATGGCGGGAGCTTGTGTTGCCTCCGAAACGTCGTGATTTGATTAACTTTTTTTTTGTTACTTTTACCCAAGTGACTTTACCGAAAGAACCAAAGAGTATGGGGTCATTGCAGTCGCGAAAACTTCAAATCCAAATATACAGCAGCAGCAGCAGGCATCGTCGTCAGGGTCGGGGTCGAACCCACGACATCCCGCATACCAGCCGAGGGGAGTTAACATCTCCCATCCACCGCGATGAGAGAAAGAGACCAAGCGGACTTCAAAATACGCCGCAGGCGTCGCAGAGTTCGGGATCGTACCCAGGGGAGGTAGTTGCCGTCTCCGCGGCGTACCTACATGCGCAGGGACGTTGAACTTCTTCCCCGCCGTACGTAGCCGACCGCGCCGATCGGCGTTGTGCAGGCCGAAACCCGCGGTGGCGGGCGCGCGGCATTTTATTCCACCCGCTTTTTCTTCCCCTAAACGTTGCGAATGACCGTGTGGTCAAATCGATTATCGCGTCGCAACGACACGTCCGTGGGAGCGCCGGGGGAAATGAGAGGTGGGTGGGGGAGGGGGGGAGATTCGCTCAGCTGCATTCATTTTTGTTGTTGTTGCGTTCTGATCCCCCCCCCCCCACCACCACCCCGTGCCCGCTGCCGGACACATCTGTTATAAATATTCTGCTTACGATTCGGTGGCCGGCGTCGTTGTCCCTTGGTGGCACGGCCACGGGTGGTTTTTTTTTTTCCGCTTGGCACATCCGAGCCATGCCTGGCCCTGGCCCAGCACGGGTGGTTTTTCTACTGGCACATCCGAGCCATACCGGTGCCTGGCCCTGGGCATGATACGGGTGTTTTTATTTTTCCTCGACTTGCACAATCCGGAGCCAAGGCAGTGCCAGCGGCTAGGCACGGCACCGGTGGTTTTTCTACTGGCACATCAGAGCCGTGCCGAAGCCTGGCCCTGGCCCAGCACGGGTGTTTTTTTTCTACTGGCACATCAGAGCCGTGCCTGAGCCTGGCCCTGGCCCAGCACGGCTGGTTTTTTCTACTGGCACATCAGAGCCGTGCCTGGCCCTGGCCCAGTACGGCTGGTTTTCCCCACTGGGCTATT